GGTACTGAGACCTACGGGTACGGGTACAATAATTGAGGCTTTTTTATAGCTGGAATCACCGTTGAACCAAGACTTGGAAGCAAAGAATATGCCAGAAATATTTACTGTATTTAAATTGAAAAATTTCTAAGCCTAACTCCACCATCAGTTAAAAAATTTGGTAATAGAAGTAAAATGAAATTGGTTATACAGCAGCGAATAAATACAGTAGCGAATGAAACCCAAACGATCGTAGGAGTAGTTAGGTAGAAAAAGTTGAACATCTTGTTAAACATTCAGAGTTTTTTTCGACAATCATCCTTCTACTTTTATTCATTGATCTTTTCATAGGGAATTTAGTGTTCCATTTGATTATTAATTTGATTTTTATAACATTTTGAAATGATTATGAACCTGATAACCGGAACATATTCAATGAAAATAAAATAAATTTCTTTGACACTGCCTGAGCTAGTAACTTCATTTGAATATACTTTCCTATGAGAATTTTTTCTTCTTACAGTTCTTGGGGAAAACGATGCACGTTTGAATTGATGCTGGGAGATAGAGTAGTATTTTAATATGAGTACTCCATGATGTCGCCAATACTTTGATATTTTCGTCGATATAGATTCTGCGTAATCCCGTTTCATATTTCTACTACTTTTTTGAACCTGCACAAAAATGAAACTTTCGCATTCCGTTCCCTTACAAAATGTCATCTCTGCAACGCTGATTCTGTTTGGAATTGGTAAAAAATATTTCACTAACCTTTTTTGTTGGAATACTAATATATTCAGAATTCAACTCACAATTGAAATTGCGATTGAAATGTAAAAAGTTATCCTTATATCTTTGCGGTATAAGTAATCAAAGATACTGCAAGCTTAACGCAACAAAAAATTCTCACGCAATAAGGAAGTTTAAATTACTGTGATAGGCTTAGCGAACAAATCGTTCTTGTTATTACTAAATCATAATCTCATTCACCAGGAAATAATTAAACTAGATAGAATGTCTTGACGGATAAAGTCGCGGCCTCAATTGTAATCCTTAAGCCGCTCACAACCCCTCGTATATATGCAGAGTCTATTATATATGTTTGGCAGAACCTACTGTAATTATGCTCCATAACGCAAAAACTACCGTTAAATCCTGCTATAGTTATGATGTAAGGACACAATAATTGTAATAATATAACAAAAATTTAGAAATTGTCATGCACGGAACCTACGTATTGCATACCGCAAAGGCACACTATATCGCAAAGGCTCACTATAATTATGCAAAGGCACACCGCAAAGGCACACTATAATACCGCATTGTAATACTCAAAGGCACACTATAATTATGCTACGCGGGATCTAATGAAAACACGCTAAACAAAACTTATTGAAATAATAAATATGTGAACCAATGCGATACATATGTAAATAATACATATGTGTCATGCGACATGCATGAAGCTAATGTGATTATGCTGCGGAAAACTTAAGTTGATTTACTACACAAGTTTCCTGCGATATACGGACGTCGCTATCTCACCTCACAGGCTGCAGAGAAGAGTTGGAGAGCTGGAGATCAGAATTGGGCGTTATACAGGGTGCGGCGCGGGAACTTACTTATTTGAATTGCGCGCCACGTGGCGGCCATTAGTCCTAGGAAGGTGGCGCCATGCGCAATATGGTGCGCGGGCTATGAAGTTTTTCGTCCACTCAGTTCAGTTGCGACCATGCAGTGGTCGAGAGAGGAGCGCTTTTAGCAGTCTTCAATCTTTAGATATCTTCAATCTTTAGGAGTCTTTAATCTTTAGCAGTCTTCAATCTTTAGCAATCTTCAATATTTAGCGGTCTTCAATCTTTCAGCAGTCTTCGATCTTTTCAATCAAATAAGAAGACGTTTATTAAATCTAACTGATCCAAGTTGAGAACATTGATCCAAGTTCAACATTGAGTTTTTCATGAATGAATTCTGGAATGATTAATTTTATCACCATATAATATTTTCCTTGGTAGTGAGAAGGTTTTGTATCCATCTTATGAGATCTGGCTTCAGCCAAATTTTCTTTTTCAATTGCACAAGGCAATCCAATGGCGAAAAATTAATTTTCAGTCAAATTCAGTGCAGTCCGAATATTTTGCACTCGGAACTGAGAATAAAAAAAAATGACCGCAATCAAGTTGAGTGACTTTTTTGCCTGCTATTTTGCAGTAATCAAAAGAGGCTCTAATGCGACGCCAGTAAAGTTCCATTGTTAGGTCTCATTGCTGAGAAATCTCATTGCGACTATTTTTTCTTTGAAAATTTCACTTCTTAAGTCATGTAACTATATATAAATTAAACAATAAATCAATAGAAAATTTATTAAAATACAAAGTCTTGTATCAAAGAATATGGAAATTTTATGTTTAGAAGGAGACTTAGATATCCATAATTATGCAAATTGCTACAGTTATTTATTTAAAAGAAACAGTGCGAATGGAAACTATATAAGGCTCGGGTAATATCAGGATACGGTAGGTTATGCCTCGTATCGCCCCTATTAATTAACAGCTTTATTTTTACACCCAAACGCGCAAAACTCCAACGCAGACCGAAAATTAACCACATGATAGAGAACTCTAATACCACGCTTAATGCGCTTAAATTAAGTAGCTATAAATGTGCTTAAAGTAGCTTATTGCGACTATTAAACTACCAAAATTTCTACTTCTGGTGTCGTGAAATTGATTAGAATGGAACAATTTAGTATGCCGAAGTAATATATTAGAAGTTAAAGTCTAAATCGAAGTAAGAACGCTATAGAAATTTTTTATCAGGCTCTTTCCGAAGCAATATTTGCGTCATACTTATACAAGTAAATCGATGTCCTCAAGAATTCGAATTTATTGCTTAATTGACGGTTTTTAAATATTTAGTTAGAGGGCGTATTATGATTTAACTTTAAGGTTTTAGCTTATAGTTCAGGTGCTTCCGATCTGCGTATTTTGGAATCCTCGTATATTTTTAAAGAGAAGCCTAGTTTAAATGCTGCCTATAGTTCTTATCCATTAGAAATTGTGAATAGATAGGTACTTACTTTATTATTCTGCCCTTTGTCTGTAAATTTAGGTTTTTAACTTCTGTGTGTGTTTTTTTTTATTAACGCCAAACTAATTTTCTGCATTTATCTGTGTTCTAGATTTATCGAACTGACGATGGAGCTGGTCTCCGAAACGTTTTCAAAATAGATATGCTAAATTTTTGTGGTGTTTTCTTCGCTTTTAAATTTCTAGTGAATCTGCGATTAAAGCAATCTAGTGACTTTTTTAATCATAATTAGTAAAATATGAATCATTTAAAATATAAGCAGCGCAGTCACTAGAAACGAAGTGATTTAGTTAAAATTTTCAAAGTTGTCCTCACAAAATTAGCAATAATATTACTGTTAGTCATATCAGCTATTAAACCAATCAACAATCATGTTAACAAATACCGTATGTCATAATAGTGTTTTATTATCTAATCAGCACAAAATAATCAACACTAAAATGATTTCACGTGTTCTGTAGGAACGTGAACCCACAAACCAACCGAATTTGTTGTTGTTGTGACGTTAACATTTCACGTACAGCGGGTATTGTAGTACACCACAGAAAAATCGCAAATAAAACAGATAATAACATTATAATATTAAATTTAAAAATCTTGTAACTATGTATTACACAAATTTTTGATCACAATAATAACATGCTCTTCCTGTCTTAGCCAAGATTCATGATTGACCATAAAATATTTCCAGCAATGTATGTTTTTAATTATATACAAACATTTCTTAAAATAATTGTTAACTAGTCCAACTAACTAATCAAATCGAATGTAATGAAAATCAGAGAATTGCTTCCTATTTGTTTCGAATTGCTTTTATGAAGCGATTCGAGAAGTCTGCGGCTTTCTTTGTGGCTTATAATCCGTCAGGCAAAAGGCAACTCGTTTGTTAGTTCAAAGCCAAAGTTGATTTCAATGAAGTTAAATATACTGTTGATAGCCATGAAAAAATTGAAAATTACCCGTTGCATGAGGGGGCAAATGGCCTCGGATTTCTGCAATTATAGGTGAAAGGTAATGAAATGTATGGTATGGAATGAACAGTAAATATAAGCGATATTGAATTTCACGAAGCACAAGTGACATTATTACTATTTGTAGGGAGCAGAATAATCCTGCGTACCATGAAAGTTGAAAAATCGAATGCCTACATCAAATGAAATACTACCATGCACATTCATAGTTGTCTACATAATGTGTCGAAATTCACATCAAGGCACTCAAATGTAAATAAAATATTAGAAATGCTGCCTGCGGTGAATATTGCGTATTAAATGAAGTGGTCAGCTTTTTTATGAAATAAATTTTTAATGGACGTATTAATCATGACACTGAAACATGGTTTTACAAAGATTGATACAGTGATAGAGTAGACGGGTACAATTAAGTGGCAAATGTTCAATACATTTAGTACCGAGAAAAAAATGTTTCATAATGACCGAGATCTTCAAGGGAAAATGAATTGAATGCTCTTCAAAATGTTAGCCTAGATTATGCCACGTTAGTCAGTAGAAAACCGAAATGGACGAAAAGGAGAAGTGCATCTGCTAGAATATAGTGTAGGTTACTAAGTCTTGTCATGGTCTTCAACTAGACCGATGAGGAGTATAGAAAAATCTAAAAAAAGTATGTTTCAAGTCAACATTCGTAGCGTAAGATATTTTAAGTAAATTTAAGAGACCTTGAACAAAAGGATTTGAGAGCCTTGGACCCTTAATATGACTGAAACGATTTGAATTGAATTATACGTTGGTGTCAGATATGATGTTTTATCGAATGCCGAGCGCATGTGGCGATTCTTGATTCTTAAGATCATATCTCTCTGGGAGATTTGAGAGGATAGAGAGCATTTCCTCAATGAATGATATCTTCCTTTTCAGGGGGTAATCAACCTGATTCTTAATTTAGGTGTTTTTATTCGTTTGAGAACTGACATAGAGATGAGGGCGGGGGCTTCCACTGTGTTTCACATGGGATTGAGCGTTACGTTTACGCATGCGCGGCACACACTCGTCAATGAGTAACTGAACGTGCAAATGCGCGACAGGCCTACTGAAGTCATCTTCTCTTCTGAGCTTCAATAACTTTTGAAGACCACCAATACATATAATAAATATTAGGAACAGAATTTGAGTCATGATTGGGAAGTTCACTGGGGATTGGTCGTCCTGGAAGGTGTCGTAACCAAGGTCTCCCAACATCCGAGTGATCATTTTGAAAAACGAAACAAGAACAGAACTGAACGAAGCGTTTTTCGTCAAAAGCAGCTGGAAAAGAATAAGAGGTACAAATGCTAATGAGAATCGAAACAAATGCATTGCATCAACGGGCATAAAGCCTGAAAATCGAGGCACTTTATTCAAAGTTAAAACCACGTGAAATGACGACAATAATACCGCCAGCACTCCCATTTGCCAGATCAAGTCCTGAAAAAGACAGAAGAGGTATCGAATAGAGAGATTGTTGAAAAGAATACTTAAATAAATAGCCTTCTTCATTCGTTTAAACCAGCGCTATAGGGTGTTATATCGTACAAATTTTTTTTATTGTTTATTCTTATAATTTTTATACATGAAATTTTAACGCGTTCTTAATATGTAGTGAAATGATTCGGGCAGGATACATAACATTCCAACCTTAGAAGAGCTCGTAAAGAATCTGGAACGCAGTTCAACATTGAGCAATGGAAAGAGCCATAGAAATCATTGAACTTATTAATATGTTTCGATCAACACAATTTTTGGCTAATTGGTAAACCGTAAACCTTGACAGATAGAAGAACCTGTATTCATGGCTCACATTTCCACGTTAAGAGAAAATTAGCATAAGGTTTCGTCATGAAAGAGTGAAGATTTCGATCGGGACATATAGGGTAACGTGGGGCAGCGCGCCCCCCACTTTTTTACACTAAAATTTTGACGAAGTTTTAATTGATACGAGGTGGTTCTTTGTTTTGTTTAAAGGTGCAACTAATGAGGAATGTATGATGTGAATTAGGCGCCTATAGAGTTATTCAATTTTTAATGAAACATTATTTTGTAAGAAGTGTCAAAATGGGCCCATTGCCCCACCCCTGGGGCAATGGGCCCATGGGCTTGGGGCAAGGCGCCCACCCTTGGTCCCTTTACCACAATTGCATATTTTTCGTTTAAAAATGATAAAACAACACTTTACAGTTAAAAATAAGAAAAATGTAATAAAAAATATGACATTCATTCATTTATTAACAACTCAAAAATCATATCCATAACTTGAAAAAAATATACTCTTGGCTTAAAAAATCTATCACTGACGTGAAGAAAAATATTTCATTGACATAACATTATATATCCTTGACTTGAAAAAGATTCTTTGCGATAAAAAATTTGTCCTTGACATGAAAAAATGTATCCTTGACTAGAAAAAATATATTTAGTTGATCAGAAAAAAACTTCGTTCCAGTTTCGTCCATAATCCAGATATTATGTGCAGAGAATTCGTACCTAATCGTGATTTCAGCCAACACCATAAAAACTCTCATCAACTTTTGGCTCATTGGTGTTGACTGAAATCAACTTTTGGCAAGGCAAGAGTCAATAACTCGAAAAGTGGTCATAAATACGCATAACTAGAAACTTAACCTGATGCCTTGAGGCGGCAAATCAAAAAATCATGCAATATGAAGTGTAATTTGTAATTCAAAAAGCTAGTCATAGTTTGAAAAGGTCATTGAGACAAATCTAATGATGTATAACACAAGACTTCACCATGAGCGCTTTGCCCCGTGACACGCGTGGGCCCGTTGCCCCCACTAGGTATCATTTCAATTTATATCGTGTCAACATTTTATTTTAAAAGCTAATAGTCTAAAATTGGTCTCAAAATTATCGTTATAAATATTACTTTGAAAAAATAATTCAAAGTAATTTCAAAATCTTCATCTATAGTAATGGAAAAAAACTTTATTTAGCGGCAAAAAAATTTTTATCTGGACTAAAACAGTTATTCGCAAAGAACTTAATAACGCAAACACTTAGCAAAACGTAAATCCGTACACTTCATCCCAGTGAAATTGTCGACCGGCGGTAGAGAACACGGGCCAATATCTGCCATACTTAGCGAGAAACCCGCTATGGGCCCGTGACCCGCAGTGGGCTCGCTGCCCCATGTTACCCTATATCCTAGCTGTCAGGGTGAATTAGATACACTGATATTTTCTGGGTAGTGTCAGCCTTTGGAATACCTATTGAGTTATAAGGTCAACTTTCGTAGTATTGCCGGTCGAATTCGTTACTGATCGGCCTCTGGAGCAGGTTTCACAATCCCCATTTGATATTAGTGGACTTTCCTCATCTCTCGAATAAAATTACACCTCAGATTTTTGACACACGATAAGTGAGCTGAATCTTCGTCCAGAGCACGATAGGGATGACCGTTTACCCTTTCCGCAAGGAGTTTACCCTTCACAGAATAGCATCGTAATCTCCGCACAATTACTTATACCTAATAGATTAAACTGTGGCCTGGAACGCCCCAAGATCTCACCTGCCTGCAGCCCAGCCAGAAATCAGCTTTGCTGAGCGAAAGCACGAACACCAGCATCAGAGGGAACCGCAGCATTCGGCTCACTCGATGAACATCCGTGACAGGCTGAGACGTCTGTGTGTGAACAAACTCAAGATGTTTTTACTAATAAACGAGATTATTATGAATGTTGGGGCTAGAATCAATTACTTTCATTAGCAGGCTTGCAACAAAGTTTGTGATTTCATTTTCCAGGACCGTTCAAATGTTGCTACATTCTGAGCAATAAAAGAACATTTAAATTTTAAATATCGCCCTTCGTGTCATGTAATCATTGTAATCAAACTAGTGAATGTCATTGAACTGAGACATTCATTTCTCCCATGACTTAGGAAACACCAGAGCTCACATGTACAGTTTAGAGATAAAAATATGAAATTATTACAAAATAATTGCGTGGTGCAGGCATAGTAATTAAATGTCTTAAGCAGGGTTGGTGATTTTTTTGATTAAAAAAAATCAATGACTTTTTTATTTTTTCATGATTTTTTTGATTTATTTGATTTTTTCAGCTTTTTTGTCTTTTTGAAATGTTATTTTTTATGTTGCAATTAGCCTACTAACAATAACAGTAAATGGATCAAAATGGATGGCTAAAAATGGCACTTATTGCCTTCAATAATGGCCAAGGTGGTGTTTACCACTTAGGGATTTTTGGGTAAACAATTATTGATAAGTCTATTTATTAGCTTTTTAAAGTATGTATGGAGCAAGGTAACAAGCTAAATATTGACCATTTAACTGGCTTCAATATACAAAAACACTTCAGGAATGTGGATCTTCTAAACATTGAAGACATAACAGTAACAGATAGGTAGCTGATAGCACTGTGCACAACACTGTCATAGATCTACTAGTTTTATGTCCTATAAATCTACCGGACTCTACCCTCTAAACACACCAACTAGTACCTAGTGACTGAGTGACTGACTGCACTGTTCCCATTTGATTCAGACCAAAAAACCAATATTAAACATAAACTGAACGATAACCTAACAAACCTCAAACGACATGAAACGAAAATAATGTTATGAGAAAAACTATCACTGTTTGAAATATACATATGCACAATTCAAACATTTTATTTCCATTCACTGCATTTAATTATTTATATATATATATAGTTTTATAATTGTAATTGTTTTGTTTCTAGTTTTAAATTGACATATTTAAAAATGGAAATTAAATATTTTAATTAGAATACGTACTCATATTAGGGTGGAAAATCTTTCTAATTGCCTAAAAGGTCAATCCAATGTCAACCTCTCAATAAACAGGGTGGGGCAGAACTGATTGAGCAGTTTTGAGGCGAAATAAAAGAGGAATGGAGGTACATAAAAAAGAAAGTTCATTTTCCTCGAGGTTAGCAAAACATACCATTTAGAATACTTATGTTTTAAAAACAATATCTGGAAGATGGTGGCCGTTAAGTTTACTGCAACACACTGTTGGAGTCGTTCTCGGAGGAGGGAGTAACCGTGACAGTGAATTCCGAACGCTATGTTGCAATGTTGCAAAATTTCTTGCAGCCCAGGATGGAAACATTGTTGAAAATGAATTGGGAGACGTGTGGTTCCAGCAGGATGGGGCTACCGCTCACGCAGCCCGAATGTCACTCAATGTTTTGAAACGAATGTTTCCCGGACGTCTGGTGTCTCTGAGGGGTGATTTACAGTGGCCTGCAAGGTCACCTGATTTGAGCATTTGCGATTTCTTCGTTGGGGACATCTAAAAGAGAGGGTGTTCAGAAGTCGCCCTCACACCCTACCACAGCTAAGGGAACGGATTATTGTTGCAGAGGTTATGGCCATACCTCGCCATATGTGTGAACGTGCTGTAGGAAACTTCCGAGAACAACTCCAACACTTTGATGCAGCTAACAGACACCAACTTCCTGATATTGTTTTCAAAACATAAGTATTTTAAATGGTATGTTATGCTAACCTTGAAGAAGAAAGCTTTCTTCTTCATGTACCTCCATTACTTTTTTATTTTGCCTCAAAACTGCTCCATCGGTTCTGCCTCGCCATGTAAAAGCTAGCTAACACATTTAAATTGTATATTGTAATCAATATATAACAAATAGTCGAATAGTTAAAGAGTACTTATAGCCTTATAAGAATTAGCTAAGCTGCTAGCTATGTACAATGTACTGCAACACTTGATGCCTCTGTACCAAAAACATACAATTCATTGGAACCTACTACACATTAAAGGCAACAAGTTTATATTCCGATTTGTCATAGTACATTTATACTAAACCATTAATAACAATACCTCAAAATAAATTAAAGACTGCCACTCAATACATTTAAATGCATATAAATAAAAAATCTAAAAAATGAAAAAAAAATCATTATTTTTTTAATCACATGATTTAATCAGTTTAATTTAATCAATGCCAACCCTGGTCTTATGAATAGAAAAGTTTGACTTATTTATCTGAAACAAGGAATGAAATTTTTTATACGATTCACGATATTTCGCACTAAATTCATTACCAATTCATTAAATCAATTATCACTGTATGAACTTGTATTAATAATAATAATATACGTTTAAAAATTACTTTTTAAAGACAACACTTCCAAAGAATCCAGTGTTCCCAATGTTACATATGTACAATGAATTTCTAATTTTATTTTCGAATATTAAAAAATTAATTTTTCAATATTTTTAATATATAAAATATTTTTCAAAATTATTTATTCTATCAATTGATTCATGCATTGCCTCCAACTTCACAAAAGTGTGCAAAATTTCATAGAAATTGGACAGGTAAAAGTTTGTCAAATATCTATTATAAGATTTGTAGCTGACAAAATTATTTTATCAGTTTTTTTAAAATTGAAAAAAAAGAATTTTTTTTATTCCTAAAATTATTTATTTTGCCATTTGATTCATGCCATTGTCTCCAATTTTACGCAGGTGTGCAAAATTTCAGATCGATTGGAGAAGTAGAAGTGTGTTAAAAATCGATTATAAGATTTTTAGCAGACAGACAAACAGACAAACAAGAAGTGAAGTTGAAGAGAAGTGTTGTAATAAAAAAGACGAGCAATTTACACATAAAATTTTATCGGAGCGCGTAAATAATAGAAAATGTGATTTTCCACAATGCATTTCTGGAATTTGTTAAAGCAAATGAAAGAAGTAAATCATTTTTGGTAAAGAAGTAAACCATTTTTTATACAATCCAACTTACTTTCATGAGGTAGAATAATTCTATGAAGAGATGAACTAGAAAAACGAGGACCATCCATACTTTCATGCCTACGACTACGGTGGACTTTTTTTCCATGTGGAAAACGGCGCAAACCGAACGGTTCCAAGACGACGTCCCGATCTCCATGAGGATGTCTTCGGAAGATGCGTTGTCTGCAACGTAATCAAACAACGTAACAAAAATTTAGCTACTCTACTACTCAAGTAGTAGAGTTCAAGTAGTGCTCTACTGCTTGCAATTATTGAAAATTACTTATCTTCCAACTCTACCAGAAAGGTACTCTAATACTAGTTCTACTTGCTGCAAGAAGGAACTGTGCTATATGCACTATGGTATGTGGCTGTGTCATTGGTTGTTGCTAAGTGGAAGCGTTGTCATGGGTGATGATTGCAATAAGCAAGTTTTTGTTTTAAACATGCGAGCTGAAAGTCATCGGTAAAGGAAGCATAAATATAATCTCCCTACTGAATGGTCGCCTTAATTGAATGCATTGCACGTTAACTGGTGCCCAGCTAATGTGCCCAGCGGGGACCAGTGGCACTCCATCATACATCCATATTTGGCCCTGGAGCAACTTAAGGGTACTGCACCACTCACTACACCCTTCAGAAGACGCGGTGGGGTCTATCGCAAGTACTCACTAAACCACCAGCAGGTACGATGTGGTTTATTGCAAGTACTCACTAAATCCCCCAGCAGGAGCAGTGGGGTCTATTGCAACCACTCACTAAACCCCCAGCAGAGGCGGTGGGGTCTATTGAACCCACTCACTAAACCCCCAGCAGGGGCTGTGGGGTCTATTGAACCCGCTCACTAAACCCCCAGCAGAGGCGGTGGGGTCTATTGAACCCATTTACTAAACCCCATAGCAGAGGCGGTGGGGTCTATTGCAACCACTCACTAAACCCCCAGCAGAGGCGGTGGGGTCTATTGAACCCATTTACTAAACCCCATAGCAGAGGCGGTGGGGTCTATTGCAACCACTCGCTAAACCCCATAGCAGAAGCGGTGCGGTCTACTGTCACCATCCACTAGGCTGCTATATGATAAACAATGGCGGTCTACTGTAGCCACTTACAACCAGACCTTCAGAAGGAACAGGAGATCTATTGCTATCACTCTACATGCCTAGAGGGGGCAATAGTACTTACTATTACTCATTTTAATAGTATTGCTTGGGACTTACTAGACCCCCAGGAAGAGCAGTGAGGGTCTGATGCGGCAATGGCTTGCACGTCTTCCACGACAGTCTGTACGTCGCTGTTCTCAGACCAGAGATTTGGGTAGACCTCAGTCACCTGGGCCCTCGTAGCCCCGCTGAAAACGTCTTCGATATCATGTGTGTTCCTGGAAAATGATTGCTTTTGCTGGAATATTTAAAGCCAGCAATGAGTGGTACATAATTAACTCTAATTCATGCAGAATATGTGGAATACATCCGACCATTATTATTACGCTGTTATAAATTATTGTATTATAATTCGATTATATTATAATTCGAAATTATTAAACATATTTTCTATATATGGCCTGTATTATATTCAAAATTTTCAAGGAAATGTGATGACATCGGCGAACTTTTGGTTAGTTGATTTGCATGTTGATTCTCAGTTATTTTTTCAGAGCTTGTCAATCACTCACAATTTGTAGTCACATAACATCTTTCGATTCATTTTCAGAATTTGATCACATTTCGTATATTCAATATCGTGAAGCCATTTGAATATTGAGTTTTCGTAGATTGGAGTCATTTTCGATTGTCATGATTCTGGTTGAATGTGTTAAATTTTAAATTTCAGTAAAAATAAAAAAAATAAAATGGGAATTTGTTGTGCAATGAATATTTTTGCAAAAATATGCTGTGTAAATCTATCAATGCGTTCATAATCGGTAAATTAATCATTTGTACTCTTTTTTTAGTTGCTTTGGGAAGCGAGATGCTGTAGATTCATTGAGCCCTATACGCGTCATGCAGGTCCGAGCCGTACGATATATCTCTGGGAGCGAGGATTTCCCTGTTTTGCTTTATAAAGATCTTATGACACGAATTCTATTATAAGAACTTGATACTTTCGTTTGGCAATTATCTGTCTTCAAACGTAGAAGGTATGACAAAATGATAGCAAAAATGAGTACAATAAATTTGAGTTTTAATAACCATCTTTGATAGTGTCATCGAGAAATATCAATGCTCAGTACACATTGTGATTCCAGAAAACTACGGAATATTTTGAGTTTGATATTCTAAGTAATAAATTTTCAGTAACGTTAGAGTAAACGGATTAGTTTTTGTGATATGCCAACGTATGGTACAAATATATATACACAGAGGTGGGCAGTAGCGCGCTACATGTAGCGGCCGCTACTAGCGGCCTCTACATTTTTAGTAGCGGTAGCGGCGCTACAGTTAAGGCAATGTAGCGGTAGCGGTAGCGCCCGCTACATATTTAAGTAGCGATACGAGATTTTTCCGCTACAGCGCTACCGCTACATTTATACATAAAGCATTTAGATTTCACTTAATAGTATTTAATATTACTTAAAACCCAGCATGATACATACATAATATAAATTACAGAATAAAACTGTACGAAAGATTTCGGTATAATGTTGTCAATCTCAGCCTGTTACTAGTGTCAACATGTTAGCTGTTACTTGTTAAGTTGCTACCAGTTACCACATACAGGTATTTTTCATGTTTCAGTTTGCATGCAGTTATTTTTACACAGTTATTTTATATATATATACATAGTTTGTACAATTACCTGACAAAAATAATTATAATTCGTGACATTACCGGACATCGGGTACAAAACCGGACAAAAATCGAGTCCGGTAATTGACGCTAGTACTTATTTCTGTATAATAACCGGACACGCCAAAAAAAATGACCACATTACCGGACATTATTACATTCAAAAAAACGCCATCCTCGTTAGGTTAGGGTTAGAGTTAGGGTTAGGTGTGTCTAAAACTCTTCTTTGGGTTGCTAGAGACCATTTTACTGGGGTTAGGTCCAGCCAGGTCAAGTTTTTTTTATATATTTTTGGCAATTTAGCAAATCAAATAATTAAAGTCCGGTAAAGTGGAATTATAAATATATATATATATATATATATATATATATATATATATATATATATATATATATATATATATATATATATATATATATATATATATATATATATATATATATATATATATATATATATATATATATATATATATATATATATATATATATATATATATATATATATATATATATATATATATATATATATATATATATATATATATATATATATATATATATATATATATATATATATATATATATATATATATATATATATATATATATATATATATATATATTAACATGGTTCGTACAATTACCGGACAAAATTAATTACAATTGGTAACATTACCGGACATCGGGTACAAAACCGGACAAAAATCGAGTCCGGTAATTGACGCTAGTACTTATTTATGTATAAAAACCGGACACGCAAAAATATGAAGCACATTACCGGACATTATTACATTCAAAAAGACGCCATCCTCGTTAGGTTAGGGGTAAACGCATTTGTAGAGTTCTCCGACCTCACGGTCGACGCCGTAGCTTATACCCCTGTTTCGTACTCCTACATAACCACCAAGGATATAAGAGATGTTATCAGAAGCAAGTGTCTTACTTATCCTCCACGACCTTAGTCACGTAACCCGATCCTCAGGTAGAGCTTAATTTAAAATGATCTGGGATATTTTGGCACCCGAATTATGTGACAACTGGCGTGATTTCTTAAAAGTTAAACTCGACTGCTTGACTATGATTGTGAGGCTTTAAATACGGTGGTGAAGTGAAAGATTTATGAAGTGTTTGTGATTATAGCAACACTGTCGCATAGAGATTTTCGTGCGGCCAAGCCTTTCAACGGATTGTTTCTGCGATGTTTTACCCACTTAAACGTCTGAAGAAGAGACCAAGAAGACCTTCATCTACTAATTTCAGCAGACGAAAACTGGGAGAATATTCAACTTTTGACTGCCGCGTCTTAGTCTTACCTGCAACGTCAAGACTTTCTTATTTGAGCCTTCGACTTTGAGAGAGAGAAATTTGAAGCGTCCACGCATTGTTTTTTTTTTGCGTTCTTCTGAATTCAGTACGACCAAACAGAGTAAATTAAAGCGATACTTTACGGTGGCAACGCAGCAACGTGATCGGCGCTATTTCCTTCGTAAGCCGAAAGACTTGATGAAGAGACTGGCGACTACGAGAGCAATTGCGAGAACGACTACAAGAGCGACTATGCGAGCGACTACAAGGGCCGGCATCAACTGAGGGCGTCTACGAGCGTTCTACAAGTCAGTGGTGCCGTGAGAAGGTGGCAGCGATGTGGCAGCAACTGTCGATGGCAGTCAGGAAAGGAATCAACAACAAAAGTTAAAACTTCACATCACATTTAGCAACAATTCTATAACAGCTACAGCGATGGGTTTCTACACATAACCGGCTGAGCAAGATGAGCATATGAAAAAACGGTATAAACAACAGCAACGGTCAAGGCATCTAATAGGATCGCCGGACTAAGAGTTGAGTAACCCTATTAATAATACTGTTGTAAATACACAGGTAATTTTGCTATAATTATTGTCACGAACTAGCATGTTCTCATGTAGAACATAGCCATTTTTACATAATTATAAAGATGTTGAGCGATAAAATGCAGAAAAACAATTAGTTAAATTGGTAGGATGCACATGTACCGCGGTGCTTGATCACCACCGCCTGTACGTCAGTGGGCAATTATCACGTTCACTTAGTAAAGCGATTCCTATCATTATTATTAAATTACCTATGATGAAGAACATTAAGGTTCTAAAGCAAAAAGGCCATTGACTCATTGTAATATAAGCCGAAAATTAAATCCTGTTAGGTTAAAAATCCAAGCTTTTACGCCGTTCTCATAAATGAACTTCCAACTAATGAATGAATAGCTGTAATTATAAGAGATTATAACGAATCCTGTAAAATTTAAATACTGTTGTCTCCCATTTGTGTCATATGTTCGCCCTTTAAATATAATGCTTGCAGGCAACAATTAAAATTGATTGACAAATACGGTAACAACGAAATGTACGTGTACCAATTTATCTAGCGCACCGTGAATATTAATGATGTGAAGATTTTTGTTTTAGTTTTAGAGACAAGCTTTGATGTTTAAGTTTTTTTAAGTTAGCAGGGCTTAAAACGTTGGTTAGAATTAACGAACGGGCTGATTTTGAATGAATTAACGTGTAGGCAAGTTTCTAAATTATGCTACGTGATCACATAAAGTAGAAGTAAATGACTTTGGCTTCTGAACTAAAGGTTCATTCAATTGCGCTTGTTATTGCTCATTACAAAAGGTTTTATTGAACGTTGCAAATGTTCATTTTGTTGTTATGTCACAAGTGAATTGTTAATGCGATATCATCCTTACGCTGTTTTTAAAAATTTTTCACTCAGCATATAAATCAGCGGAAGTCGAATACAGCGACTGAAAAATCCTTGAGCCACGAAAAGGCATCTTGAGTCGTTTTACGAGGTTTGGATAGATTGAAAAATCCAAGCAATGCCAGGGATTCGTAAGTAAAGTAATTCTACAATTTTGTCAGTTGACTGTAATAGCAGTTATTGAATTGATTATGGTGGATGCAGCATGTATTCGCGACATTCTGTATATTTTTACCACGTCATGTAATGATATAACTCTTTTGTGAAGTAACATAAACGAATCTTTAAATTTTACAATAATACAATGTGCAGTGAACTTAAACAAGTTTCAAGACTCTGATAAATCCGAACCCGTAGAATAAAAAATAATGCTAATTAAAATAATGTTCCATTGTAGCATAACGATTAGCGAATCGGGAGGTAGAATTTTAATAATTATTCTGACCAGTATCTACTCGTATTATTTAAATTGAATTTCGCTTTGAGTATCAAAGATGTCGTAGACAGACATTTAATGGGTGCCCAGCCGTAGACCAGCAAATTAACGCTCAAATCAGCCCTGGAGCCAACATCAACCATCTAAATGCAATAGATATTGTCATCCTGGCACCTAAGCAGCTGTAGTAAATTGACCTATCTCACCACACGAACTTTAATCCAACACTGCTTCAGCACACAAGCTGCTACTCCTCATAGTTAACGGTCAATACGTTGTTCTCCAATGCTTTATAACCCATACCATCACTTCTTACACATGCTGTTATCCCAAGTGTCCGCTGACCACACTGCATTGCCGCAAATGTAAACTGTACCAAACGGTAATGCGTCATCACCTTACTTACTC